CTTTTTGAGACAGGTTCTCGCTATGCAGTTCACGCTGGCCTTGAGCTCACTTTGTAGCCTAGGCTGGCCTCAAATTCGCAACAATCCTCCTGCCTCAGCCTCCCAAGTGCTGAGATTACAGGCATGCACCACCTTGCCCAGATCCTACTGATTCTTTTCTGTCTTAGCCATTCTGCTCTTCAGCCATGCATTGTTTATTTCATTTATTGTATTTTTTTACTTCTAAAATTTCAGACTGCTTTTTGTTTTAAGGGCAATTGCTTACAGAAGCATTTTAATGATGGCTACTTTGAAATCCTTGCCAAATAACTCTAACATGTGTCATCTCTGTGTTAATATCGGTTGTACTTTTTTATTCTCATTGAGATTTTCCTGGTTCTTCACATAACGAATGATTTTCAACTGAAACCTTGACACTTTGGGTATTACGATACCAGACTAAGGAGCTAAAGGCCTTCTGTGATAGCAGGACTGTGCTGACATTGCTTCAGCAGACAAGAGTGTTACCTTGATTCCGTCAGTTGAGTATGAATAGTAGGGATGGAAATTAAGGTTCTCTGTTCAACTGCTGGGGACTCCAAATGAGTAACATAGAATCTAAGCTACACAAAAAAAGGAAGTGAAAACTCTAGGAAAATAAACACACTGGCAGATCTACTTGAAATTAAAAAACTACCACAAAGGGTAGCTAGGAACCTTTAAGATTTTAGTAAGATTTAAAAAAAAAAAAAAAGATGTTAGTAAGATTTATCATGACAGCACTTTTAGGTAAATTCCTAAAGGGCTGAAACATCAAATGCAATTTCTGTCCAGTACCAGAGAAAAGAATGGTTTGTGCAGGCCATCTTAGAAATTTATTATCAGCATTAACTTGTTAAAAAATGTTTGTTCATTGATTAGATGAAGACATAGAACACAGGTTTATCGATTCTACAAATAAAACTGAGCTGAGAGATATCACTAAATGGATAAACACCACCAAGGTTTTTTAAAGTCTTCAATAACTAAAAGAAGGAATGCAAATCTAAAATTTAATATAAAAATCTTTCCTTGGAAAAATCAAAATAGAACAGTAAGAAAATCTTAATATCACCTCTGGGGGAAAGACCCTGGGATTCTGCTTCAGAGCAAGTGCTAAATAAGTCAACAGTCTAACAAAGTGACCCAAAGAGAAGTACTCGAAGAGGGTGAGATAAGAGGAAGACAATCTAATTACTGAAGATCTCCTCTCTGGTATTTTGCAAGAATGTCTGGCATACGTTATATAACTTTCCCAATAACAAAACAAGACAAATATATACATACTTTAGAAGACAGAAAATAGACACTAAGAAAGTTATTTGCTTAAGATCACACTGTTGTTACATAAAAAGCATGGATGTGGCCAGTGTCCACTACCCTACCGTCCCCTGTGGGCAGTATTACTAGAAAAGCAGCGCCCAATCAAGGGAGTAACAGCACCACTCCACTTACTCCACTTTGGTCAGATCATCTTTATATGCTGTGCTCCAGTATTGGGATCACATTTCAAAAGGAATTTGGAAACACCGGAATTGGATCAGGAAGGTTAAGTAAAACAGTAAGGATGGTGGGGGGGTGGAGAAGCTCTTAAGCTATCTTAATTATTTACAGGAATTCTTTGAAGGCCATAGTTCATAAACCAATATACTGACTCTAAAGGAAAACCATTTGAATTAAGTGAAATTTCCAAGCAATTAACACTCATAGGCGGTATGATATCAGCGTCAAAGGACATAGTTACGTATAGGTTGCAGGGTTTACGTTACATGATAAATCCTCTCAACCCCTAGCCAATCGTAAGATAGTTCTGCTCTTACGTAGGTAAGGTTTATTCATGCAATTTTGTTTGGTAAGAGGTTACATTACGTTGATACTGTATTATTCCGAAGAACAGCTATCTTAAATTTAAAGTCCATCTTCACAGATGACAGCGTAGAGGGAGAAGGTAAGAAGTCTTCAGAAGGGGAACAAAAGCGTGGCGAGTGCAAATCTCTTCAGCGTCTGCTCATTCCGCACTCACCGCCCCTCACCTCCCACTTTCAAAACTGCAAGACCCACGTCCCTTCTTCGGGTAAGTCAAAGCCAGTCTTCTTCCACTGAAGCACCCCGGCAAGTGCCCCTCCTGGGTCACAAGGAGGGCAAAAGGGAGCCTGCGGGACCAGAGCCGGACGCCCGGTCCAGCTGGTCCCTTCGTCCACCCGACCCCTCTGCCACCCTGACTCTTCGTCCGCCAGGTTTCCTCCTCTCCCCCGACCTCCTCCACCCTGACCCCTCTTCCAAGCATCCCAGGAAGGACGAGGACCCCTACAGCTGGGAAGATGGCGGCACTCACCTGTAACAGCTGCCACACTCACCGAAGCCAGCGCACGTTGCACTGAGTCAGTAGGTGCCCAAGACACGGCACTCCGGATGTAGCGGCAGAGGGGCAAGACACCGACAGACCCCGCTCGGACGCGACCCGGCGACCCCAATCCGGCGCACCCCCACTTCCGGCACCTCCGGAAATCCCGCCTCGGCCTCGCCCCACGCCCGGCGCCACGGAAGTCCCGCCCCACCCGGACCACCGGAAGTTCCGTTTGGTTTTCTCCGTTGGTCTCTGCTCCGCCGCGCCTATGGATATCTTTTCTAGGCTTTGTCTCTGTGTCCTTGACCTCTCAGCTGCCTTGCCGCCCCAGCTCCTCCTAAGGCGGCGCAAGCGTGGACTGAGCGAGTGACCCTGGAAGCGGGGGGCGAGCACAGCGCTCCCTGGTGGCGCAGGCGTGTTTGATTTTTATGCAGAGCCTCGTGATGATTCTGGGGACCCAGACCCTCTAGACCCCAGAGCTGTACCTCCCCCAAAATGCAGTGCACAGATGGAGCAGGGGATCGCCTCTGTAGGGCCCTGTAAAACGTGAAAAAGCGTACCCGGACTCTTGTCGGATCAAGTCTACTCACCGCAGCAGTGGCTCCGGTTGGGGGTCCACGGTCAGGCGGGTTTTAAGTCCATTCCTAAAACCTCGCTCAAACCTAAGAACTGAGAAAGAAAAGAAAAAATAATTCCTTAAAGTGCAAGGTCGGTCGAGTACACTGTTTATAACTGTTAATCAGTTTGAAAGGCTTTCCAATCCAAACCGCTTAAAGGCTGTGAATCGCTTCGCTGGGTACAGCTCTCTGGGAATCTTCCTATTTGGCTGCAGGGAAGCCTGATGGAGACAGAACTATTAATATTGCAGCTTATCTGCAGAAGATGACTCACCCAGTTTTCTTCTGAAATATTTGCTCACCATTGGCTAAAGAGAGACAACAGAATCAGCTGTTGGCTGCAAAAGGTGGGACATCAGCAGCTTTTTTTCTTAAATCTAGGTTGTCAGAAGTACATAATAAACGGGGCCCATTACATAAACTGTATCTCCGCTTTATAAACAGCTGCGCCTTGAAAGCTCACCTAGAGTAAATCAAGAACATGAAACCATTTTTGTTCTATGTGGGTCAACATTTTTGCTCTTTCCTTTAAAAATCAAACTAAAGATTCTGATTTAACAAGCAGTAATATGTTTGTTGCACAAGAAAAAATGGAACAGTTGGTGATTCAGATAACTTTAAAAATGTACATAAGACTTGAAGTTAATTCCACATTAAGTAATTTTGTAGAACGCTTATGACTTGAACCAATTCTGTAAGCTGAAGTAAGGAAATTATGTTTGACTCCTTAAGTAAATAATTTTCTTCAAACTTGGAGGCTGTAACATTCAAGTAACAATTTTATTTAGCAAAAAATGCTGCACAATACATTCTGCTGGGGATAGTAGCAGAAAGCTTTGTAAACCACAATATCATACTTAACTAACATTTTACTATACGATTTTATATTTGCAATATAGCACCCACAGTTTCAGTGACCTTTAAGATATTGTAGATAGAAGTAATTTTTATTTGACATATTTAGGATTCCACAAAAGCCACTTAAAATAATTGAGTGCATTGTATCAAAAAAAAAACAGAAGGAATCAAGTTTTGAGGGCCATCAATTTATACATTTTGAAGCTTGTTTAATCTCCAGAACTATAAAATTGAAGTCACTATTCCAAAGTGAATTTTAGTTAAGTACAAGGATGCCGAAATGATTTGTCAAAAGTCAAAAAGATAGTGTGCAGGAAAACAGAATAACACGTAGATGTCAAAGCCCATATTGTTTTCACAGTGTATTAGTTTGATAGGGAGGCAGTAACAAAATACCACAAATTAGATGGCTTAATCAGAATTACTGTATTACAGTTCTGGAGATTAGAATTCAATAGTAAGGTGCTGAACAGGTTGTTTCCTCCTGAGAGTTCTGAGGACATCTATTCTGTGCCACTCAAGTTTCTAGAGTTTGTCAGTAATCTTGGTATTCTTGGCAACTGGCAGTATAACTTCAGTTTTCACATGGCATGCTCCCTGTACATATCTGTATTTGTATTGGAAGACATGTCAAGACTAACTTGCTGACCTAAGTCTTCTGACCCTCATCCATAACATTGGAAGTGTACTAAAGAGTAAATGCCGCCAACGCTATGAAAGACATTTTTAGTATTAAGTGACCATCTTTAATTTTTGAGTACAGCTTATTAGTTTGTATACTGTCCATGAGATAAAAGGTGGGCAGCTGTTTTATAGCAAGCATGATTGATCTTCTAATGTAAGTTTCCTTCAAGACTAGAAAAGTTTACCTGATGATAAAGAAACTTATGTTGTTCTTACCTACACCTAGATTTTTACAAAATGGGGTAATTATCAATGGATAAAATGTTGGAGACCCCTACTTAACAACCAAACATACCTCTAAACTATCTCTGCTAACAGAAAGTACATATAAATGAAAAAGAAGGTACTGTGAATAACTTTTACTGGTCTCTAATCTATATAGTTGATACCTTTTCTCTTTATCAGAACCACATAACTTAAGTAAAAAGAATTAACATGTGTTATGTACATGTACCAGCTCCTCATGATGAATGTAACATTGTGCACTATAAACATGTACTACTAGGGGCTGGGGATTTAGCTCAGCGGCAAAAGCGCCTGCCTGGCAAGCACAAGGTCGTGAGTTCGGTTCCTGGTACCAGAGAAAAACCAAAAAAAAAAATAAATAAATAAATAAACATGTACTACTAAAAACATTTAAAATTTTGAAAATATAGGTACATATGCATTTACATTATTAAAAATAGCAACACCCTGTTGAGATATTATGATGCCTGTTTTGAAATGAGAAGCCTCAACATAGCAAATAGTTCAAGGTCACAGAGTAAGAGACTGAACTGAAACTCCAAAATCTCTTTTTGCTAATATTAGCCATACAGAAATATGTGTATGTATCTGAATTGCATGCGTAGTCCTATACACACATAGTGTACTTCTATTGTGCATTCAGAATCCTGAATTTCTCCAAATCAAGATTATATGCAAAGACATCATGATGGAAATATTAGTTGTCGCCAATCTTGATGGCACCATTTTGCTTAACAGAATCTTCAAAGGAGTATTGATATGAAAATACTGTGGTCTATGAGTAAATCCATAATGTTTGGTCACATCAGTCTATGTTATCACAAAGTCAAAAAGAAAGTAAGACCACCCAAAATGTACGTAGAGGGAACACTTACCTCCTATCCATTTTATTAAGGACTCCAGCTATTCATAAGATTTTGAATAGCTTACCACTGTGCACAGAAAATGAGGTCCAGAAAATAGTGAAAAGTGACCCTAGAACACCAGGCCTTTTTTTTTAATTTTTATCAGTACATATTTGCAGTGCATATGTTCACATTCCTTGTGGGAAGTTGGTACACGTATGTAACGTCTTAATTCTTTTTTCATCTGTTTTCTCTCTTCCCTCCTGTGTGTCTCCATCTCTTGGTCCCCTTCCCATTTGCAAAAGATCTGCCTATTTCCTATGCTCTTTTATTTTGCTCTTTATATTTTGGGTTCATATAAAGGAAACCATGCAACATTTAAGCTTGTGTGTTAATTTCACTTAATATTCCGAGTGCATCCATTTTCCTATAAATGACTCATGTTTATCTTTATGACAGAGTAGTATTCATTGTGTACAAATACATTTTCTTTATCCATTCATCTTTGAGGGACATATAGAAATTACATTCAACCCAGCTATTCCCTCTATGTCTTCCTGAAAGAATTATTACAGTGGTACATGCACAGCTATGTTTATAGCAGCACAATCCATAAGTACTAAATCTTGGAACCAGGTCTTTAAAGTACAACCACTCGATCTTGACCAACTAGGTACTGAACTGAGTTTTTCTGCATCCATGCGAATGGCAGCATGTAAAGGTTGCCGTAGGCAAAAGTAGGACTTCTTTCCAGATAGACTCTCTGACTTCCTGTGGGCTCTTCTCCGTCTTATCTTTGGCTGCTCAGTAATCTATGTCCTGCCCTTTCTAGACCTAGCCCACACCCCTCTGTATCTACTCATAGTTTCAACTACAATTTACATGCTTCTCTAGATACAGATCTCTACTTCAGGTTCGGAACTCTCTCACAAGGCCTACTTGTTTCCTCAGATTACTTGTGCTTACAAAGGTGGCTGAGCATGAGGCTGGATCCACAGACTGGACTGAGTCAGATGTCTGAGGTTCAAATCCTGAGTTTTGCTGTTTCTTGGCTGTGTTAGCTGGACTAAGCTGTTTAACTTCTGTGTCATTAGTAAATGAAAGATGAGTATGCTATACATATTTCACAATTGGTTGTTGTGTTTTTATATATTTTTATATTAAATCAGTTAATATGCTACGTGTTTATAACTGTACCTGACAGAGGCTAAATATTTGAATGATACTCAAATCAACATTGGGCATGTGTCAAGGCTTTTGTGAACACAAGTGACAGAAACATAACTCAAACTCGACTAAAACAGGAATTCATTCTTAAAACCAAACTGTGAGAACAGCAGGAGTGCAAGCAACCCCAAAGACAAGTTGAAACCAAGGACTCTCCATCTTCATGTTTTGCTCCTATTTGCTTGCTAATTTAAATCTTACTGAGGACCAGCTTCTTTCACAGGCGAGTGACATATTTGCAGCAGCTGCCAAGATCACATCTTGAATTGATCACATCCAGCACAAACAGAAACCGATCTTTTTCCCTTTGCTTCAGTTCTAAAATATGGAATTGGTGCTCGCGCTGCATCCTGTGCTGCGCCGCGCTGCTCCCAAGAGCTCAGAGCTCAAGAGCTCACGGGGCAGCAGCAGACGGAGCGCCACCCTGGCACAGGGCCTGAGACCCGGGCTGTAACTGTGGCCTGGACCACAGGGCTAGGCCAGGCAGCTTGAGCGCGCTCTGCAACCCGCCTCCTGGACCTCCAGGGCCTCGACAACCACAGCGCCAGGCTTCACCCCTTACCCCACTCCTGCCCGAAAACTCCAGCAACAAAGAAAAGCAGTCGGAGGAGCAGCACCACCCCTTCACGCCGAGGAAGGCCAAGTACAGTGGCCACCGTGGTGTTGCATGACTTAAAGGAAATGAGGTTTGTTGAAAGAATAAACTAATAAACGAAGGCTAGAAGGACAATGCTGCTGCAAGCAGAGGGAACATGAGGAGAGCCCTGGAAGCAGCAGCTGAGAGGGCCAGCAGGAGTGCTGGTCTCCAAGGATCCTAAGAGTGCCGAGTTCTGGGAAGTGACTAGGAGGTGTGGAGGGTCAGGCCCTCCCTTCAGGAAAGTGTCTGGGACCATACCTAGCCCATAGTGGGGAAGCAACTTCAGGTAAGTCAGCTTGTCAGAACAGTGTGAAGAGACAATAGCCATTTAAGGAAATTGGCCCACAGAAAAGATGGCTTCTTGCACAATCTATCATTCTGCCTCACATTTGACAGTCACTTGAGACCACTGATGACATAAATATGTGTGAGATGTTTCTCACTGAATATGATATTGACCCAGAGAAGATTCAACCTCCCTTCAATGCCTGGAAATGGTCAGAAATTCAGAGAAGTTTTGAGAATCAGGGCTATGTCATCCAGTCAGTTAACATTACCTCATGCTGAGACTTTGGTATTAGAAGACAAACACAGTTCAAAGATTACAATGACTCCAAAGAGAGAGACAAAATGTGAAAATGTGAAAATATTCAGTGGAAAGAAAGAAATTTTAAGCATTCATCCCTGGAGTTAAAAGTCAGTTTGAAAAAAAAAAATCCCTCAACAAAAAACCTCTAGGTTCTAGAAAGCAGTCCATGTTATCTGTATGCCTAGAGCAGTGTCCTCAGCAGCTGAATAACCTCTTTAATGAGTATTCTAACTTCATTGGCAAGGGTCATATAAGCACAACCACAACTAAGAAGATCAATGTCAATGTCCCCCTGTGCTCAAGCCAAGAGAGAGTGATGTCAATGACCACAGTGATGGCCAGCACCAGAGTGCAGGACCTTACTGGGCTCATCTTTTGGCAATATGCAAGCTAAGTATGGGAGCCAAAGTGCAATGACAATGTCATTGACTGCATATTGCTGAGAATGGTGGGGAAGGGAACGCCAGAGCTCCCCCTTACCCAGGCCAGTTTTCAATGAGTCCATTCATAAGTTTGGTGTCCATACAGGCCTTGGTGAAAAGTATTCATTTCCTGGCTTGACATCGGTTATGGTTTGGGACTTATTTGCAAGGGGAATAATATATAATTCAGGACACATATTTTATAAGATTATTTATAATAGTCACCCAAAGAATGATATACAAGAAAGTACAGGAAATCTGTCCACACACTAAGACGAACGAATCCAGCTGAGGGCCTGGAACCCATGGAAATGTCCTGCATGAGTTCAGCTGAAGACCTACAGCTCATAACAATGCCTCCCATGAATCCAACTGGAGGTCCAGAGTCCATAACAATATCCCACGCAGGCCTGTTTTCCGGATATGCGCTGGGAAGGCCCAAAGGTCAGTGGTGGAATCTAGCAAGGCTGTGCCAGTGGGATGAAGCAGCTGTGCTAGCAGGCTGAGGGATCTGCACTGGAGTGAGGAAGCGACACTCAGAAGAACCAGAGCTCCCCTGAAAGGTACCACACCCATCCCCGGCAACAGTGAGGTCCCGAGCTTCTCTGATGATCAAGATGGCCAAGTTCTCATCAGGGAAGCCAACGCAGCAAGTTTCTCCAGGAGACTGGTAGTGCACCATCTTCCCCTCTGGAGCCAGGAAGCAATGCTCAAAGTGAGGACTAGAGCTCCCCTGAAGTGAACCAAAGCCATTCTCAGTGCCAATGAGGTCCCAAGCTCCTCGGAGGATGAAAACAGCCAAGTTCATGAGGAAAGCCAGCATGACGATCTCCTCCAAAAGAACCAACAGCTCCTTACAGCTTCTAGCAGCTCCCAACAGCCTCTCTCAACTCCTAACAGCCTCCTTCTCCTTCTCCAGTTCTGCCTCTTATGCTGCTGGCAACAATCTTCAGGTGGGCCTTCCACACCCAGCACCATGCTTACTCAGTTCAGGTGGGGGTTATAAGTTGACCACAAGTTGTCAATCCACTACAACATCCAAATAGTTGCTCTTTATTTAAAGAAATGGGGTTCATGGATTCCCCCTTGTTCAGGTGAGTAACACAAAAGTCATCACAAAAGAAATCTTGCTAAGGCAGTAAAACATGGAAAAAAATCCTAGAAAACTTCATGTGCTTGTAACTAATTTAACTGGCAGTCAAGGTTGTGTTAAGGAAAATGGGTTTGAACGGCTGAGCTTTTAGAGTATTGGCCTGGATGTCAGAAATCTTTGCCATCATGGAAAATTCTGTCACACTGGAATTACTATCTGTTTCCTACTGCAGAAATCCTCAGCAGTGTGATACTGCTGAGCACCCATGCTCTCCATCAACCATTTTGGGCATGTACTTGAATGCATTACCTCACTTGTTTCCATAAACTATTTTACAAATGTTTAAAATAAATGACTTTACAAACACACACACACACACAACAGCAGAAGAA